CAGAACATGGTGCTGGACAGGAGATAGAGATTTGTACCTTTGTACTTCGAATAGCTATTCATCTCTGGCTTCTCCTGCAGAGGTGGCAGGAAGTGGCCAGCCTGGCCTGTCTATAAGCATGGCCTATGTCTACTTTTCCTTTTTCCACTCTCTTCTCTCTCTCTCTTTCCTTTGCTGTTGCCTTCTCCAAACACCAGCCTAGCAGGGCCCTGTGGGTCTCCCTCCTTCTGCAAGGCATGCAGACGGACACCCTGTAGGAGCTACACCATTGTCTTCCCCTGGTGCTCCCTGTGAGCCACCTCCTTTTCTTCTTTAGATTCATTAAAGTTGTGCTGCATGCAAGCCTGGGCCTCCAAGTCCTCCTTTCTTCTGTAGCAACTCTTCCAGTCTGCTCAGGAAGAAAGGTGTCTTTTTGGAGAGGATTATGTTGGTTGCAAAAGAGGACCCTTCCTCAACTGCAGAGGAAGGAGAGAGTAGGACTCCCTGAACTGTGTTTTCTTTTGCGTCCTTTCCCTTAGAGCTGAGGAATACATTCCTGGCTACTCCATAGCCATTGTCCATCAGCCCTTCCAGCCTTGCTGCATCTCCTCCCAGATGGGCCAGGAGCACTGGGCCTGGAGCACTGGGCCCTGGAGCCTGTTCTGTGAATGGGGAGCCCAACCCCTGAGTGAGGAGCCCATGGCTGCAGGAGGCCAATGGATGAAGTTAGCAGCCCCTCTTGGGGATGGGATCTCCTGTAGCTCTGAATGGAGCTGTGCTGGGGGAGGAGGCTCGAATAAAAGATGGCTCCAAAGGGTGTCAGGAGTGGGCATATGGAGACAATAATGCCTGGGGACAGCCCACAGCCTCATGTCCTGCCTTCCCCTCCCCTCCATTACCTGATCTAGGGTCCATGGCCAGCATACCTGGGCACAGACACATGAGATAGGTACTTCATACAGTCCTTCAGCACATGGCAGGGCCCAGCTGCTGTCCAGACATGCAGGGCTGAGGTAATTCACAAGTTAGTACTGGTATCAGCCACAAAATGGAGTCCCCACTCCCTGTGAACCCAACAGCCCCATGGGCCACTGCAGCTGCAAGAGAGCACCCACTGCCCAAACACCCATGGCTGCTCTGTGGTACTTGGTCTCCTCCAACCCTAGGGCAGCTTTTCTGGGCCTCTAAGTCTGCACCACTGTCAGATCCCAGCTCTGCTCTGGAAAGGTTCTGTGCAAGAGCAGTTACCCCCTCCATCTCCACAGGCCACTGTGGCCAACAGTGGGACACGTTTCTGTGCTCAGCAGCTTCTCTGATCTGTCTCTGCTGGGCCATTCTCAGCTCTCTTGTGTTGGCTGATATTCTCAGCCAGCGGCTGGACCAAAAACCTTGGCATATCAGAGGCTTTGGCCAGGAGGAGATGCCAAGGCAGAAGGCTGGCCATGCACGTCTGGAGCTCTGGAGACTGCTTTCCCCAAAGGAAAAGGTAAAATTCAGGCAGAGGGTCTTTCTGCATGGAGGTTCAGATATGAGAGCCTTCATCTGCCTCCTGGCCACCCAATTGTGAAGTGAGGTGATGAACGTGTTGAGGCACTGACGCCATCTTTGCTGCTGTCAGGGTATGTGTAAGCCCAGTTCTGCAGGCCCTAAGTGCCACAAAGCATCTGCTGCCTGCATATCCCTACAGGAAATCCCCACTTTCTGGCCATCATCCCACCATTTACAGGCAGATGGTGACTGGGCAGATGGCAGCAGTACACAGAGCGTCCCCACAGCAACATGGGCTCTCCGCAGTCCAGTGACTCCCTGCCTTCTCATGGCTTCTTTCAGGTGTCCATCTTCCCTGAGTCTGTGTGAACGACTTGTGGCTTCACTATTTAATTCCAACATTTAGGTATGCTTTTCAATTATACTTGAAAATTTCTTTTTAGATGTCGGCCTTCAGCCCTGGGTGATGCTCTAAATCCTGGCATCCCTCAGGTATCCGTGGTCTCCTGGGTGCAGAAAAGGAACTCCTGAAGGCCCTGCTGGGATCAAAATAATGGCTCAGGCACACAGCGCCCCATGAACCATGTGAGATTCCACTCATGCTCCTTCTGCCTACCTTTTGGGGCAGAGACACCGTCTTTGTCCACCTCTCTGGGTGCTGGGCATCTTCTTTCTGTGCCCGGAAACCAAGGCTTCACCTCCTCCTAATGAGACCTGTTGCCCAAGCCCTGGGGTCAGTTGCCAGCACCCAGGCAGCTCCAGTTGCTCTTCACTGAGGAACCCCGCAGGTAGCCCCATAGGTCAAGAATTGGTTGTGCCCCGGGGACAGGGTGGTACAGCACAGGCACCAACCCAACCATAGCACAAACACTGGGGCAAGATCCTGCCTGTACTCAGCTTCCCTGGCTCCCCATGTGCTCTGAGGCAGGACCAGCCCAAGCTCCACTCACACCACCACTGCTCCTCACATGCAGGCCAGGGCCTTCCCAGCACTGCAGTCCCTGGCTATTGGAGATCTGCCATTGCCCCTTGTCTGCTCCATGTGGCAGCTTGTGATAAGAGAGCCTCTGTCCTCTTTGTAGCTGCCCTTTAAGTAGTGGACTACTGTGATGCGGTCCCCCTGAGCCTTCTGTTCTCCAGGGAGAAAAGACTTAAATCCTTCAGTCTTTCCTCATAGGACAGGTTCTCCAGCCCTTTGGTCATCTTTGACATATACCAGGTGGTGGCAGCAGGTGGCAGATCAGGATCAGCAGAGGCCAAGTCAGGGGACTCAGATCCCAGCGGTGGCAGCCCCCACCTCCAACACATCAGCGACCAGTTTTTCCTAGGTGATTTAGCCTTGGAATCTAATCCATCTGATCATCCTAGAGCAAGCACAATTTTCCTGAGCAAGTCTCAAATAGATTTGCAAGAGAAAAGGATTAGTAACCACATCAACCATGTTTCGCCTGCGCAGCTTACAAAAACATACAGCTCATGCTCAAAAATATTTATAGATGACTGCACAGTCAGTCAACCTAATCTTAGAAGCACAATAAAGTGCAACATTAGCAATATTCTACCATATAAAGAACAGAGATTCAGATAGATGATTGGGTATTTTTGAGGAAAAATCTCATCCTCTCACACAGGAAGAAGTTCCAGATGACTACTACAAGCATGGCCCTGATTACAAGCACATCTACTGGTTTTTTCGGACACTTTTCAGTGCTGCACAGCTGACAGCTGAATATGCAATTTGGTTTATTCGGAAAGGCTTTTAACCTATGCAGAGATTGACATATGCCCTAGTAACTGTAAGAGGATAGTCCTAGGAGCTACAATGCTTGCTTCTAAAGCAGGGATGATCAGGCTGTGTGGAATGTGGATTATTACCAAACATTGAAGGACTTATTGAAGGACCATGATCTCAGTAATAGCCAGAAAGAAAGGGGAACATGACTGTGCCAGCAGCAGGCAACACAAATGGTTTTCCTTCTGACATGGAAAGTCTTCACAATTTTTGGCACAGAGGTGGTGGCGTAGCAGATCTCCATGAAGAAAACCTGATGAGGAAGAAATGCAGCAATATCTGCAGGCACTTATTGCTCCACGCAGTGACAATGAGGAGGTCATTCCCCACCAGGTTTGGAAGATACATGGAGAAAATAATGGCATATGGGGCCATGTGCCCACCTAGGGAGGTCAGGAAGCCCAAGGGAATGAGATCAGTTACAGGTGTCTTCTTCTCCTTTGCCATGGCTATAAAAATTACAAAGGAGCTTATCTCAAAGTGAAAAAAAAAAA